CGCTCTGTGCACAATGCGTCTGTGTTTGCGCGAGGGTGGCACCCATGTGCGCGTGTTGCATTTGATTGCCGAGAGCGCAGGGAAAGCATAGGGAGGGACTTGCGATTCAAAAGGGTTGCACTTTCACTTCGCATTCAGAGGAGAAACATTCGCCTTGTAATGTGAACCTATAAACACATGCAAAATCTAATAGAAAATGCATCTTTACTCGTTGTGGAAATGTGGAGAGAAAAAACAGGAAAACTGATGAATACGATTTGCAACAATTTTATAATTATTGTCAAACCACTTTTGAAACTAAAAACGATACTTAAAAATGCATCTCTACTTCCATTTAAGTAGAGTTTTGAAAGAACACACAATTTTTCTTAATTTTATGGAATGAAGCGGTATTATATTATATGTTAAGACTTTATTAATAGTAAAATTTAAATTTTTAGTTTGCTTGTAAGTTTTGAAAATAATTATTTTATGTAATTAAAATGGAATAACCTGTCGCTCTAAATTTCCAATTTGTAGAAATTCATGATCATTTCTTACTAACTTTCGAAAAAATTTGAAACAAATTCCATTTCCATCAACGCTAAACAGGTTCCAAGTTGTGCTGCAGAACGCAGAGATTCTAAAATAGCCGCGTTGTATAATATGTATTCAAGAGGTACGGTAAATTCACGGCAAAATAATCAGTGCGTTTTCATTAAAGCGTAAAATTACATAAGCGGGAAGTCACCGCACCACTGCTGCCTTACTTAGTTAGTTAGTTGGCGAGATGGATTCGCTTGGTGCATAAAAAAATAAACGCCACCGAGTTCGATCCCGTTTTAATGGAAGACGATTTTTCTTACAGCTCCAGCCTCATAAAAATGCTTTACAAAGCGAAATTTATAAAGATTGTTATTCCAATTTGAAAGAACACAAAATTTAACTATATTATTAGAGTTTATTGAAAAATTTGCATTGAAAAAAGTGAAACAGGATTCATCGAAGGTTATTATTTTCCATCTAAAAACATTCAAACCTTGAGGGACTGTCTTGGTTGCTAAATCACTAAATTCGACAAAGTCTTTATTTTATTAATCTGAGATATGGTGACATTTAGTGAAAATTTAAAAATTAAGAAACTAAATTAAGATCAGGGTTATTAAAAATTGGAATAGCCCCTGTTTGAACCTTTAGGTGTGTTCAAGTGTGTTAAAAATTTTATCTCGAATTTAGTTTTAATAATTTCGGTGTCTTTTTAAACCAAGTAGAACAAAAATCATCAAGATGCCTTTTAATATACATATTTTTTTGCAAATTGTGTTTTAAAAAATTAGCTTCTGTCGCAAGGAAAGCATAAATTATGCCATTTTTGTGACGATTCAGCAGAAAAACCAGCGATGATGGCAGGTGGAGGTCGCGCAGGCAGTCATGCGGAGTGGTATGTCCCGGCCTTTCGTTCTTTCAGGTAGCGCCGCCGAACCATCAAGGATAATCTCATCGGACAAGTTGCTGAGCAAGTGCTTATGCAAGCGATTTTTAGCTCGGCGCAAATAGCGAAAAAAAATAACAACATGACGAAATAACTCTTCTCGCGAACGTGATTAATTTTCTGATTATTCGACGCTAAAGGTTGATTGTGTTTCAAAAAGTGAGCGGCCTTTTGCATTCGCCAAGCCACTTACTTAGGCACTGTTACGCTGGGACAAGCAGCAATGACGCCAAAAAAAGAATAGAAGGTACTTGGTTTTCCTTTACTGCAGAGCAAAAAAACAATAAACAAAAAGGAGAAAAAGCGTATAAGGTCTTGCCGACAGTCAGGGTCGTTCACGCTCTTGGAGCAATGGCATTAAGATTTTTCTCAAATACAGCAATTAAGATAAATCGTGCCTGTAAGAGTTGCAAGTATTAAAAGGTTATTTTGAATATTTCTATTAAATTATTTCACTGCGAATAAACGTAAGTTTGAATTACATGGCATTTTAGGATTTATAGGAACAACAAATATCATTACAAGATTAAAAATAAATAAAAATGGTTGAAATCTTTATAAAAATCGTAAAAATGTTATCACTCATTTTGGAATGCTGCAAAAATTCTGAAATTTGTAAACTTTATTTTATTAATTAAAATTTGAAATACTTTTATAAATAATAAAATTAATGGATAAACAAACAAGTGTAACAGGATGAAAAGTAATGCTTTTAAATTAAGAAAATACGAATAATAACTAAAAAAATTATCAAAATTATATTATGCAAAAAGTCTTAAAAAATAATAAAATGTAATGTTACAACACGTTTATTTCATATTTAATTTTATTTTATGTCCGATTTTTTTTTAAATTTAGGTGTAATAATCTGTATTTTATTAGTATATTCATATAAAAAGCTATAAAATATTAACTATTGATGTGAGAATGTAAAATGATGAAAGAATAAATAATGGAAAATTAATTTTTTATAAAAAAGTGATTTGCTTAAAACTTGAACAATTGCAAAAACAGTAGATATTAAAATTTGTTGCTTTTTTCGATTTACTTTTATTCATTTCCATCAGATTTTTAATTGAAATCCGTATAAAAATTCACGAAATTCTTCATTTTGAATAACTATTTGTGACAATAGGTAACCGCAGTTGGAGTCACGCAATTCTGACGCATGATATAGAGAGATGACAGGTGCTTTACGTGTTTGGCGGAGTGTGTGCTGCTGGTCTACTTCCCAAAAAGCAGCAGAATTATTGCGCATTCGATGGCTGGGCGATTTTGTCACCGGAGTGTTTACACCTGTAGGCGAAGGTCTTTGTTTCTAGCAGTTTTATTTACTCAGCCGAAACCTCAGCCAGCAGTTTTCTTGCTTGTCGCCCAACGCCAAAATAAACCCACAAGAGATAAAAAAAAAAAAAAAAAAAAAAAAAAAAAAAAACAATGCTGGTGCGGTTTTAGGAGTTTTTGGCGCTTTTGATATTTTCGAGCAGCTGCCAAAGAGAAGGAAGAATTGCTCTATTTAGTTAATAATTTTTTTTTCATAATTCAAGGAATTCAGATATAAAAAAAAACACGTTGACAAAATAGAACCGCAAGGAGCTTTGCTGTGCACACAGACAAGGATTCACTCGCTTGTTGGAAAGTAAATATCAGGCACGCACCGGCAGGCGCCGAGTGCTTGATAAAGTGGAAAAAACGCATGATCGACGCATTTTTCTGCTTCCTATCGTTGCTATGCGAATTAAAACTCATCAAAATGATGAGCGTCGTCTGCTATTTTAATATAAAAATCAACAACAAAAATTGAAAGTTTTATATTATTTGAATAACTTAATTTAATTAACTCTAATATTTAATGTAAGATAATAATAAAACTGTTTCTAATAATATTGATGTATAAATGGGTTAATATGTGGGATATTCTGGTCTTAACTTATTGTTTATTTCTATTTTTTCCTAAATATTAGTCTGAATAAAAAAAAATTGTAAAAAATACGGAAAATACTAAGAAAAATACTTCACATGAGATCGTTTGTAAATGAGTTTTTCATGAATTACTGATGGAATTATTATTTTAACAAATAAGTCTTCAAAATTTTGATACATAATTAATTAAAACATTACCCAAATAATTAATTTAAAAAATATTAATGATTCCACACAGGCTCTTTTAGAAAAATTTATTTAATTTCTTTTTAATAAATTGAATCTATAAATTTTAAAAATAAAACAAAAGGGAATGTGCTTCAAGTGCAGACGAGACAGTAGCTACCACTTGATTACAATCTGCATACTTAATAATAAGACTTACAATTCATAGACTACTAAAAATTTAGACTTACAGAGTTAGCCTTACACTAGACAAGCCAAAGTATATTTAAACCTTAATTTCTGGATAAAAGATAAAAAAATTTTCAAAATGCAACAAAGTAGGAACAGTATGTATTGTGTTTATTTTTACGTTTTGGTGTTTTGAGGTGCGCGTGACTTTTATCCCGCCGCGTTAATTTTGAGCAACCCGCTAACTGATTTTTCCCTGAATGGCACGTATGCACCTGCCAGGGCTTGAATTACGCGTCAAATTGTCACCACGTCGTTTTCCGTCTGAATATAATTCAAAATGAGAAGTGCTACAATGGCTTCTGTATCGTTAAAAATTCATGTCACAAAAAGCGCAAAGAGATAAAACGGAGGCACGGAAGCTGAAAACAATGAAATACAAGTACTTAATTGAGATGCATTAAAATGAATAACGTGCGTGTGAGTATCGAGGAAGTCGGAATATGAACTTTTAATTGAAACGAAAAAATTAAAAGCACGCTAGAGAACGTAGGCGTTTAATTAATAATTCTGTTCCTCATTATCTGATTATTTATAATTACACATTTTTTTCTCAGTTCAGGGACCTTCAATTTTCCCAAGACATTTTTCCCAGCTATGAAATATTAATTTTGTTTTTATATAGTTAAAAATTTTATATTATATAATTATAAATCAATCATATACAAATTTATAGGTAGTAAAATTGGAATTATAATAATATTTAACAATTATATTGCAAATTCATTGAATATAAACAAAAATAAGTAATTTAAATTAGTTAAAATGTAGATAAATTATTTGAACTACATCTTTTCAAGCTTCTAAAATTGAACTTTTCATGGTATGATATATTGTAAATAAATAAATAATTGTTTTTATGTTAAAACTCCTTGAATAGACAAAGTCGCAGACATTTCTGTGACGTTCAATCTCATCAGTAGACGATTTCTCTCACGCAAACACCTTGGAAATAATCGCTCCGGCTCAAGCATCAGGCGCGTGTTCGCGTAATAATAATATTATGCGGAAAGGATTGTCCATATAGGGTGATTTTCATTGAGTCAAGGCAAAGGTCGAATTTCAACCTCTGTCCGGCGCCAATAAATATTACGACACGGCCAATTTACCAATAAATAGCTCCAGGCACACAAAAATTGCAATGATTAGTTTAAATAAGTTAACTTAAATATTAAGAAAAAATTATTTTTACCTTTTGCAGAAACTTGTCACCTCGTCTCTTGATGAGCCTATTACAAGTCCATCCACAAAGGCGCAGACCAGGAACGCAAAACCTTGCTCTTGACACGCACGGGACTTGCAAGGTCGACGACGGTTTCACACCTTCTTGTTGTCCGTCAGGAGACAACGACCGCGAAATTAGGACGCAAATTCTCGGCGCACTTGGTGTGTACTACGGCGACATTCCGCCGAGGTCCGGATTCGTATCAAAGTACGCCGAAAGACCAACTGCAGAGAATAAGTGCGGCAGGAAAAGTTCTCCGGTTCGAGCGCCGTTCCCCCACCACCATCAAGCGTGACGTCACTTTTCGCACGTGGTACTGGAGATGCGGAATCATAGGTGGCAGCACCGCACGTGTTTACTACGAAGTGCTAAGAGCAAAAGGAGGCGTGACTTGTTATTCCACCGAGGAGATTTTCTAATGTGTGAATTTTGCGGATTATGATTATTAATCCGATTTATTCATCGTAGTAGGTCGTAGTGACATTTCCATCACAAAATAAGACGAAGTATTGTCTTTTTTCAGTCGCAAATCTGCACGATAGCCGGAGAAAAGGATTCTTGAGGGGCAAACATGACTTAAAACTAACCGAGCGACGTTTGCCCATCACTTGGGTAAAAATTAATTAGATTTATTTATTTGCTATTCTTTTCCATCTTAAAGGTCAACCCATTTCAAAAAGAATCTAATATGGGTATATAAATTATTCAAGACTGTAAATTTTACTCACCGTTGTCGCCAGTATGTATACATTATGCAAAGTTTTCAATGCGAATTTGCATTTCGACAAGTGTCAAGATTTACCATTTCTGACAAATTTATTTAAATTAAATTGTTAATCCTTATGAAATACCTTAATTTGATGAATGTGTTGAATCAATTTCACTTTTTTGTTGTACCTACAAACCTTTTAAGCGCTTTTGTTCTTGTATGTAACACATGATCTGCAATTTTATGCAACAGCTCTCACTTTTATCTGCTCAATACTATATGACGTAGTATAATTTTTTCTCTCGATATTTTATGACGTATATTTAATATTTTTTGACGCATTTTACCATTTCCAGAATGACATCAGTGGTGTCTTCAAACCATTTCACGCCGACAATATGCGACTTAGCCTGGGAAGATGTGGTTTTTCCAAATATTTTGGCCGGCCTGTCCATCAAGGACTGCTTCAGCCTTCGTTCTGCCTCGAAAGAGTGCCAATCCATGGTCGACGAATACTTTGTCAAAATCAGACGAGTTGACCTGTCGCAGTACAAAAATTTTTCTCCAGCTGCTTTTTTGGTAAATATTTTATATTCAATCTAAAGAAAGAAAAACAATATTTTAATAGGCACTAGCTTCAAATGCCAGAAACATTCGGTATTTGAATCTGGCCAACTGCAAATGGATGTCAGATGACCTTTTGAAACCAGTTTTCGAAAACAACAAACACTTGACCTTTGTGAGCCTCAGCTTTTGCACCGGCCTCACTGCTGCTTCCCTTCAACCATTAATTTTGAATTGCAAAGTAAACATTTGATTTTGTGAAATATTTTTCAATTTAATAATTCAAAATTTAGGAACTAAAAACTTTGAAACTGCAAAATTGCCACTGGGTGACGCACGGCAGCATTGAGGCACTTTCCTTCCACCAGACGGAACTTGAAGAGGTTGACCTGACCTCGTGCTGGGACCTTGGAGACACTGCAATCATCTCTCTGCTCGAAAAATTTAGAAAGTTAGTAAAAAAAAAAAAACTGAAGAGCTTAACTGGGAAAAAATTAAATGACGATTGTTTTCAGCTTAAAGATTGTCTGCCTCTGCAACATTTACTCCATCACTGACCAAACTCTGTTCGCCATCTCTAATTACAGCAAGAAACTTCAGCACCTGAATCTCAGGGGGTGCTGGCGAATCACTGATCTTGGATTAAGGTAATTTTTAAAATTAGTGCCGACATCAAACTGACATAATATTTAAATTTGGTTTCTATAAATTCTTTTTACAAAAATTACATTTTACAAAATAATTAAAACATCAAATTAAAAAATGGCAAATTTCTCCAGTTTCGGTTGCAATAACATTTAAATTTAATTTTTAATAACTGATAACAGAAGATATTATATAATTTAAATAAAAATTAATTAACTGATTGTTTGCTATATTGTATATTGTCTTTTTAATTTATAGGCTGATTATTTTGCTTTCCTTAAAAAAAAAGCAGTATAACCATCAAAATTTATTCTGTTTTTAGAATGGTAGGAGAATACTGCAGAAGTTTGCAGTCTTTGATGGTGAAGGAGTGCAGAAACGTCACAGAAGTCAGCCTGCAGTCACTCAGAGCGAGAATGTTCATTGACATCCAACCGCTGGAATCGCGCTACCTTCAGCAAGGTATTCCGGTTGGACCTTACGGGTACAATAGAATCAATTTGCAGATTTAACATTTCATGACAATTTAACCTTTTCCCTGAAGCGAAGTTAAAATTCTCACTCATTTGTCATTTGTGTCAGTCATAATCACGCTCAAAACGATAATTTGCCATTTTTGTTGCTCAAAATATTTAATTTGAAATTTTTGATTGTCGGAGATTATACAATCCATAAAAGACGCACTGCAATAATTTTTCCTTAAATTAACCAATGATGTTTTCAACATTGATCTCATTGATGTGAGAATTGTATGAATAGTCATTTTGTATGTGATCGGTGTGATTGTATTATTTTCTTAATTTAAAACTTACTTAAGGTTTCAGTTATATTAATCAAGATGATGATTACTTAAGTGTTTGTGTATTATGCAAAGGATCATGTAATTTAGGTTTTTATTTACTCACATAATCGTTTTTGATGAAATAATATTAAATTAATACGAAAATGCAACAATAAATGTTTTAACAAAGTTGAATTCACTCAATCGTTTGCAAATAATAACAGGACGTGATGGTCTTTTTACCCAAAACCACTCTTCCCCAGTCTGTTTGCTCATCTTTCAAGAAAAAGTATGGTCCGATTGCAACTTTGCCAATCACAACTTCGTGGCCGAATCTGCCATTCTTGTGCAACACACTCAGCACTAGCATGCTGTCTGCCAAAGTATTTTCGGGCAATTTTGGGAATCGAAACTTATGGTCAAAGAACAGTTCACCAGATTCTTCCAAGGGACTTTTCTTGGACTTCTCCGACTTTTCTTTTTTCCCTTTGACGTACATACCTGCTTTCAAGTAAAAGCTTGACGTTTCTAGTGGGAAAAAATTAAGAGGGGAATTTGAAAAATAAAAAACTAAATTACCTAATAATTTTTCGTCATGCAATTGCAAGCCTGACACTTGAAAGACATTTAAGTCAATTGTATTTTCTTCCGAGAACGCCAAAGATAATTGGACTAGACCTCTATTCTGAGAAGGCTGTAATTATATTAAGAAGATTTGAAAATGAAAAACATTTATTAATAATTATTACTGCAGATGTTCTTCTCAAGGGACTGTTGACTTGCTTGAACTTGATCAAGTCAGACTGTATCAAGGGATACAAGACGTGACCAATTGCGTCATACCTCTCCTGCCTGCCCTTTTCATAGACTGAGATTCGAAGAAAACTGCTGTCCAGAATGGCGACCCCATTCCAAATGAATTCTTCGTCCATGATTGGATTTGGGGACATTTTGACAACGTTGTGTCCACTATATCGAATGGGAATCTTTTTATTCTCAGGCATGACCTGGACCTTGATAAGAACAGAGTACTGCAGCGGCTTCTTCCCCTTGAATGGCAAACCCTGAATCTTTTTTATTGCAACCTTCAACCTGAAAAATGTTTAAAATTTATTCGGATTTTTTAGATTTTTTTCCTCTCCATACTGTCCGTGCTGGTATCCGGGCGTCAAAATGATGGAGCCAAAAGAATAGTCCTCTGTAATACAAGAAAATTTCTTGGTCGGACTTGGCGACGGTGAAGCATCACTTGTTTGCTGCTCGGCCAGGTACATTTCCAAGTTGAGTCCGTGCTGCTTTGCCACACAGGCGCTCTCCTCCGGGTCCCTCTCGGGCTCATTTTCAACAAAGAAATTTGATCCGCTTCCAACGGTTTGCTTATTTTTTGCTAAATTTGGTGTTGAACTTGAAAGTTTGCTCTTGAGGTGTTGAAATGGCAAGGTGAGGAAATCTCTCTTACGCGCCTTTCTTGTATCTTGGTCGGCCTCTGAGGTAAACGCGCGCAAATCGATAATATTTTATTAATGGAGTAATTATTTGTAATTATATATGTTGTGTTGCATAGAAAAATGATAGGGTCTCTCTGTTTCACAAGTGGAGAGATAAGGATGCCAAAGGAAAAGTAGCGCCTCGCAAGAGACCGTCAAAGGAAGGAAAAGGCTCTATTATCAAAAGCTGAAAGGCCTTGAGCCATTTTTTTTGTACATGAAGAAATTCGTTTATATTTGAATAATTAAAAAAAAAAAATCAAAATACCTGGTAATTCACTGACCGAAGCAGAAGCAGAGCTTTCAGTGTTATATAATTTCTCTTTGTGCGTTGTAACTTCAATATCTTTTTTTCCTCTTACAGGAGAATTAGACCTAAAAATTACAAATGTAACTACTTTTTTCTGTTGTTTAAAAAATTTGTTTTTAACCTGCTAGTGATATTCCTTTCATAATTAGAAGACAAATTGGTGATGCTTTGAGAGGACAGCCAACTGTTGTCTTTTAAATTCCCCTCGTCAAACTGATGTTTCATTTCTTCCTGCTGCGCCGTTCGCAAATCCGGGGTTGAGGCGGCGAGTGAAGGCGTGATGAACCTCTTTTTGCCCATGCCGCGCATTGGCACGGTCAACAAAGTGTTTGCGGTTCCGTGGTTACGACTTCCACTCTCACCATGAACTTAATTTTTTTATAATTTTACTACCTTGTTAAAAAAAAAGGTTTATTAAAAAACCTGGGGAGGCAGCTCTGGACCTGTCGGGAGAATTGATACCACTCCTGCTGCTGCTAGGGCTGATGCCCTCGTCCCGCACATCCTCCATGGAAATCGTCCCAGCTATTCTGTGCATATTAAAAAGTGCACCTGTATATGCTTGAAATTTAATTGGAGCAATTAAATTTTATGGCCCACATGTCGATCAACTGATATTCTTGTTCAGCAGATGGAAAATAAAAGTGGTGTGAGCAAATTAAAAAATTTGACATTAAATTTTCAACAAAACTTGATAGAGTTGAAAAATAAAAATTCGCATAATTGAAATTAAGAACTAAACAATAATTATTTTTCTTTTTAAATATAGAAAAACTATGCACCTTGAGACTTTCCGTCTTTTGTAAGCACCCTGGGATGGGCCGCCCCTGTAGTGACCATACTTTCCTGGGTCATGTCTGACGCCACCTGAACGCTTGGCCTTGTTGGAGAACTTGAGCCACTTGAAGCAGCAGAGGAACGACGACCACATGTTGCTTGACAATTGCAAAGTTGCGAATAAACTGAAGTTTGGTTCGGCTGCCTGCGACTGAGTTTGCGTGACATCCGAAAGAAAGTGGAGGAAAAGTCTGGTCTGATATTGTGGTGCACCCACGGCAATATAAAAAGGCAGTGGTTTTCACCGCGCAGACAGGAAGTTCTTATCACAAATGACAAGCAGTCCAGAAACATTATAATACATTTGACAGTCAGATTTTGCTCGCTCTTATTTTTAAACTAGAGAACTGATAGAGACGAAAAAAATATTCAATATGGAAATGAAAGGATTGAGAGCTAATAATACTCAAGATTGATTAATTGTGTAGTATGAAAGAAAACTTTATTATTTCCTCGTTCATAGCAGCGCTTCCACTCTGAGCTTCTTTGCATGAAAATAAAACACTGACTTCCTCAGCAATTTCCATCCCTCTTCGGACAGCTCCAGCAAAGAGCCGAGCAGTTTATAGTCCGACCAAAGACAATATCTTTTTTCTTTTCCACTGAAAATTGACTCAATTTATTTTGTCTTTTAGGTCGCTCATCTATTATTATTCCAAGATGAATTATTCCTGAAATGAGAATTGGAATGTTTCATTTTCTGTGGGAAAAAAATGCCAATAAGAGGTTGTTAACAAACGATGTGGGGGTGAAATTTCACAAGAACCGTCCGATTCCCGAATGAATAATATTTTTTTGCTCAATTTGGATTTCTCACTGATTGATATATGAAGATGCTAAAATAAACAATCGATTGATTTTCACACGCCAACCATGAGTTTGTCAAGGCGGAAAGCACGCAGCACATACCGGTCAGTTTACCTCAGTCGTCGCTGTCCCGCAAAATTCTCCGTGGGTCCGGTTCCCGTCCGTCCGAGGTTGCGACAAACCGCCACGTCCGTAACTTCTTAGCAGTCCGATTTTTTGCGACCGGCAATAAATAATATACTCTTGTGCTAATAGGGGGGTCGGTAAATCCGGAAGAAAAAATATCAAAGTTCAGAGCACAACGTGAAAAGTGTATTGTATGATCTACTCATAAATGATTACAATGTGTCATAATTATCTTAGAAAACTTAAACCAAACCAAACAACTCTGTGCTTTTTCCATTAATTGCTAAGTCCCAGCACACACCCATCTCATATAATTAAGATACTAAACGTGAATCTTCCGAATAGATAAATTTTGGAAACGAATGGGAATCAAGAGGTAAAATGTCTGTTTCTTTGTCTTCTTCCTAATCCGAACGATTTGATGCGACGGTACCGTTGTTGTCCGAGCGGCGTCGACATAACCGAGAGCGCGGGCAAGCGAGAACCGTCCGTCGGCGTCCAATTAATACGGGGTATAGCGGCGCTGGGAATTAATACCGCGATCTCCGACGGGAGGTCTAATGAAGAGAAAACAGAATAAACGTCATTAAAGGCAATCAACAGCAGCTGCTTCTTCGAGTCAATGGCGAACCGCTCTCGAATTAAATTTTACTAAGCAATTTTCGCAGGCGGCGAATTTAAATTTTTTTCTCTCTCAAACGAGTCTAACGGGCTGCAGTAAAGGTCTGCAAAATTTTAAAACTCACCGTCGATCATCAAAGCAGTCACGGCTGAAGTCCTCGTACATGGACCTGCGAAAATTTATGGAAACATTTAGAATTTTGTTAAGTTTAAAAAATTTGAAAGGAAATTACTGTTCAGGGTCATATTTGCTTTCTAGATGAGTGGTCCTTGAACTTGGATACATGCAAATTAAAGTCAGGTGTCATGCCTAGAAAAACATCTCACCTCTGCGGAGGCTCCGCAAATCCACGACGAGTGAAGAGAGGCTCAGGGGCCATGTCATCGTAATATGAGGCCTGACGGGCAGGGTCTCTCATCATGTCCAGGGAGTTGCCTCGCATGCCCATGCCAGACGAGATGGGGGCGTCCATTCGACGAGCGCCCATGGCAGAGCCGTAGCTCGAACGTTCCCTGCTCATCATGTCCCGGGACATCATTTCCCGACCCATCATGTCACCACGAGAGCCCATGTAGTCGCGGGGCTGGAAAGAGTCACCCTTTTTGAAACAAATGAAAAAACAAATATAATTAAAATCTCTTTGGCAGAGATTTTCATGAAACTTACTCCCATGCGGTTCATCATGCGCTCCCTCATGTATGGAGGAGGGGGAGGTGGGTAAGGGTAGGGCTCACGCCTTGAGTACATCGAGTCTCTGTAGCCACCACCTCTCATTGGACCCCTGGAAAAAATCAGGAAAATAACATTTTGTAATGTTAATCTAACTCAAAAATGCTATTCTTACCCAATCAGCTTGGGGCACTCCTTAGACCAATGACCTTCTCGGCCACACCGGTAGCACTGCTCAGGGTCGCTCATGCCAGGGCGGGTCCTCACCCTGCTGGTGGAAATCTGCACCTTAATAGGCATGCCGTCCAGCATGTAACCGTTCATTTCACCAACACACTTGTCAATCAGTTCATTTGACTCGACGTGCTAAAGAAATAATTTTATTAAAAAATTCTTACTTTTTAAATTAGTATTAAATTTACCACAAAGCCGTAGTTCCTGATGATGTCACACTCAACCACGGTTCCGTAGCCGGCAAATAACTGACGCAGTTGTTCTGGCTTTGTCTTCTCACTAAGGTTTCCAACAAAAATCTTGGTAGTTGGTGTGGCAGGGCCCTTTTTGCTGACAGCGGCCTCGACCTTCATGGGCTGGTCGTGCACCATGTAGCCGTCCAGGTTCTGGATGGCGTCACGGCCGGCCTGTTCATTTTCCATATGCTGTAGAGACAAATTTTTTTAGTAAGCTTCCCCAAAGTGTGAATTTATCTCCAGCGTACCACAAAACCATAATTCTTCATCACATCACATTCGACCACCTTTCCGTACTTCTCAAACAGAGGCCGGACGTCGTTGACGGTGGCATTGCTCGAAAGATTGCCAACGAAGATTTTGAAAGTGCCTACGCTGTGTGTTCCTGGCATGTTTGCTGCTGCTGAAAGAAACAAGCCAAATTAGGTCACGGCGTCTGAAAAGAATTCTTTATTCTCTGGGGGAACAAAATGCAACAAAAACAGTAAAACGGCGATTTTGAGTATGTAGAGGCTTTCTACATGATTTATAAATCGATTTTAATTTCGTAAGGCATTTGAAGGCACGCCATTAATTAGAAACTGAGTACGTATGGGGCAAATGAACTAATAATTCGAGACGGAGTGATAAGATTTTAACACGAAGTAAAAAAAGCTCCGGTTTTGATAAGCCGGCAAGTTTGTGCGAGGGCACCGTGGGGTAACCAACAAACACATACAACGAGAAAAATTCATGTTTTTGCAGGGTAACTTGCTCATCCGGATCAAAAACGTTCAATTACGAAGCGATTGCAAGTCCGAAATGCGCTTAAAATGCTTACTTACAAAAATATTTGATGAATTTGCCTTCTTGATTTTGCGGTGATCGCAGTAAACGTAGGAAGTCGGGAGTAAAAATGGCGTCGTATGCATGTTTCGGACGCGATCGTGATTGTTCGATTTTAAGCGTGACGTCATCAGATTCCTGCAATCCGATTGGCTGTTTTCACTCGCGGGGCATTTAAACTTGTAAATAAACACCGAGTGAGATACAAAAATTTCAGAACTCTGATATTTTGATCATTTTCTTTGAGAAGATTGTTTTTTTGTTAATTAAGAGGTATGGAAGTTAAAGAATAATTTATAAAGAGTCTTAAAATTTACATTTTACACCACTGAATTACAGGCCACCTCTGGAAAAGGCATTCGAGAAAGCATGTCGGGCATGAACTTTCAGAAGAAATTTAACACCACACCTCCAGACAAAGGTAGTTTCCCACTGGACCACGACGGAGAGTGCAAAACTGAGATGCTATATTTCATGCAGTGTTTGTCAAAGAACAATAATAACAACTCAGAGTGTCGGCCAGAAGCTAGGGAATATTTAGACTGTAGAATGAAGCACGGGTTGATGCAAAAAGAAGAGTGGAATAAACTCGGATTTAAAGAAAAAGAGTAGCTTTCAGGTTGAAAATATTAAAAAAAAAAAATTATTTGTGATATTGACTGCCAATAAATTAGACACCATTAAATCAATCTGTAATTTTTTCTTAAAAATCCAATTTTGTTTCAACTTTGTGACATTTTATTAATAATATCTGAGTATACAAATCTATTTGACATACATTATCTGCACTTTCACTTCAATCAGTGTTTCATAATCAGTTACAGTCAACATGCATAATACATTAATAGTCGCAATACACTTGTTAATGTGTAAGAGGTCCTGCAATATAATAAAATAATGAAGAAGCTCTACAAAGAGGATGGCATCTTGAAGTCCAATAGATTATCAACAAGTTTCTTTAAGTGGCACTAAAAACTTAGCTCCTATTAAAAGATGGCACTATATGAGCAAAAAGAAACACCACCGGTGGAAAAAAAATTAGTCAACAAGAAAAGAGTGGCGAAGCATCACAAAAGTTGAAATTAAAATTGTGCTCCAGCCAAAGGACTGATAAAGAGCATCTAGGCTTATTTACAGATACTTGTTAGTGAGACATGTTCGAATTTAAGTGTATAGTTATTTACATTATGTTTTAGCCATTAAAAACACTATACATGCATTCAGTCTTGTTGTCTGTTTCTTACAACATACAATTGCATATTCAAGCAACAAAGTGAAGGAATGCTGTAAAAAATATGGCATAACAAATAAATTATCAATTTCAGCTAATTCCGTTACAATTATTTTTGCTCTGCTTGTGCTGACAATCAATCAAAATATTTATTTACAGAAAGCTTTTTTTGTACTTTCAAACACTAAAGCACGATAAAAATTTTCATGAAGGCAGTTAAATCGACAATAGCCAGTGGTGGCCTTTGACAGTAAGCAAAAGGCTTCAAGTTTCAGCCAAGTAGTGAAATTTCCATTGCAGATTTGAGTCAGAAAGCACAATCACAAGAGGCACATTGACATTTAAGCAAATAAATGAAAATAAAAAAAAGTGTCACATTGCTTCCATCAGGTGAGGGATCTTGAACTGAACACCATAGTAGCAAAAGGTGCGTCATTTTTTCTATATATCACTATTGCATTGTAAACAACATTACAATTTACAATATATGGATATTGCAATTGCTGCTATATAATAATTCCATAATTTACATGGCATGGAGATAATGTTTCTTTCTCTTGTCTAAAACTAAAAGTAATTTTGATTGTCATTTTACACTTCCCTCTTTGACACTGGGACGGCTGATTGAACTCAAACCATAACCATCTTGTAGTCATTGTATCCTGGATAGCTGTACTCTGGCTCCAACTTGTTCAAAGTCTTCTTCACTCTCAGTGCTGTTAATCTTACATTTGGATTCTGATGCCAGCACTCTTGCATGACTTTGGAGAAACAGTGCAGGATCTGAGAAAAAATTTAATCAATGACAAGAATTTTGCATATAAAAAAATAGCATACCTCATCACTTTCCCATCGGTCGGATATTTCTGGCCGGATCCCCTTTATGTTGACCACTTCGTGCATATGTTCAAACGAAGGATCATTCGGTACGCAATCATAGAAAGGCACTTGATAGTCGTCTACTTGATTCAGTTTGTCACCAGTGTAGCATCGGCGAGCAATCTCCCACAGGACTAGGCCAAAGGAGTACATGTCGGCCATTCTAAATGACTCAAAAACACTGATGTTGATCCTTTCGTCAAGCACTTCGGGTGCCATGTAACGTCTGGTACCCACTCTGGTGTTTGGCGCAATGTCAATTTCATTCCTTTCGCTAAAAAAATTAAAATTCAGGATCAACATTTAAATTTCTGCTTTGATTAAAATTTACCTGAGGTATCTAACAGCCAAGCCAAAGTCGGCAATCGCACACTGCCCGTTTGTCTTGACCAAAATATTTTTGCTCTTTATGTCTCTGTGTGCGATTCCAGGCTTTCCTTTTGTTCCGAAGATTTCAGCATGCAAATGGGCAATACCGCTGGCAGTGGAGAGTGCAAGGGTGAGACCAGCTTGTGGATCGACTGCATTCATCTGCAAATAGTCGTGTAAGGAACCATGGGGGTGGTAGTCGGTGATCAGTAGCATCTGCGTCCAAGAACCCGTGCCCTTGATGTCGGCAGCAATAAAACCTTCAAGAATTTTTTTATTTATCTTTCTTATAAAAAATAAGAGGAAAATTTACCCAGAATATTTTCATGGCGCATCATGACAGTCTGGTAGAGCTCAGTTTCTCTAAACCAGCTTGCCTCCTCGGTGGTGAAAAACACTTTAGCTGCAACCCTTTCGCCGCGCCACCTGGCCAACCAAACTTCTCCGTAGCGACCTTTTCCGATCGAACCAACCATTTGCAACTGTTTTGCAATTGTTCGTTGAACCTAAGATTAAATTAAAATGATTAAGCTTGATATTTAAAATAAAGTTGATGGATTTTACCAGGAGAGGAAGTCCAGACCCCGAACCAGAGCTCTGGTCTATCAACTCTTCGATGGTGCCACTGTCGTTACATAAGTAGGGGTCACAGCTTCTGGCCACTTGGTACGACTTAGTCAAATCTTTCTGTCTTTTGTACCTGGGAATTTTGGATTGAAATGTTAGCATCAACCGAATTTTCATGAAAATTAAACTACCTTATGTAAACTAGTGCAATAATCAGCACACAAATGGCAACAAAAATGACCATGGAGATCAGAAAACTGATCATGGGCAGGTGGTCCGTCCAAAACGGTTCTGGGGGCAGAGGTTTGTATTCGGGTTCCAGGTACTGGTTGCACATGTCCTCCTTGTAGCAGCACAGTATGTTTTTTGGCACTTCGTGTGGCACCAAGTAGCCTTTGCACTGCAAAAATAAAATTGTAGACCACCTTGGAAGATTTTCAAGAGAAAACTGCAAACCTGCATAAATCCCGTTTCGTCCGGCGGAAGGCATCCGTATGTGTAGTCGGGTTCATACCTCCGGGTGGCCGAGTTGAAGACGGACTCGACGGCAGCAAAGCACCGGCTGTTGGGTTCTGCCTCGCAGGTTCCATTGGGCTTGTGGTCTGGACAGTGGCCTTGGCAGTAGCAGGTCAGCGCGTGAACTGCAATCATGGAGGGGGGAGCAAACATTAAATTGCAGCACAATGATCATCTCAACCATGAAGGTTTGATAATTCAAAAGATAAATTTACATTCTGCTGAAGTAGGCGAGAGTGCATATTTATCTCTGCCCTTGCGCTCAGAGTGAGTGCATGATCTCAATTTGAACACTGTGAATTGAGATATTCTTAAAAGTTTACTTTTTTCTACGTCTTTTTTACATTTTTTTAAATTTATAATTGCTTTCGTATAGAAAATTTAATTTTTAATAAAAATAAAATCACAAAAGTTAAAAAAAATATGAAAAACCTCATTCATTGAACTTCTTTAAAATTCATGTTTAACAAATAAATAAATGTTTTTTATTTTTGTAATCGATCCAAGAAAACAATATAATAATAGAGAACAAAATTTAGAAATTACTTTCCAGCTACTTAAACTGGAAACAAACGCTAACACAGATACAACAAGAAAGCAGTCTAGATTTATGATCTGAATTGATGACTAAATTACAGCTATGGAGCTTCATAAATATGAGGGGCTTAGAAAAGAATAATAATTTAGAAGCTAAATTCACCGTAGTTACCCATAACCATATAATTGAACCAATATTTAGAAAATATCATAAAATTTGATTTCATTTTAATCTGAAAACTGTCACACAAATTTAATAATCTTTTCCCATACAGCAAAACCTCTCAAATTTAAACACAGGCTTGGTAAAAAAAGACTTAAAAATCAAAAATATCAACCTAGTTCTTGCTAGTTCTCCAGTTTTTATTATAAATCCGGTATCAACATTTTTATTATAGATATTCCTCCTCGCAACTTTTTCTCCTACTTTTTTTCATTTCTAAAACACGTAAATTCAGCAGCTGAAAATAAATCTGTGCGCAACCTTGGGTTGGGATGCTGGGCGACTCGACAAAAAAAAACTTAAAAAAATCCCATACAGCCCACGCAGGGAAGCGTGAATCTCCAGACAAATTCTCTCCACAAGTGGTCCCGGCGGCCAACAAATGAATTGGAGAGAATCTTTTCCACAAACACCGCGAGCTAAGAGGGGGAGGAAGCATGGACCGCCGCCGGAGTGGCGCCTATCAACAGGCCACAGGAGCAACAGGCCCGCGACAAGGCACCAGGCAGGCGGGCACCTGCCCTCTCTCAAGCAAGATGCGAAGAAGCAACACCCGCTATTAATTGCCAACCGCTTGCCTTTCCTTCTTTTAACCTCAACCCTGCAAATTATATTGAATTAAATGGACAATAATGATTATCCGTTTATAGAAAGGGGGCGCCTGAAGGTTCCAATTCCGCCTGATTGCACAAATAGGCGGCAGACGTCTGGAAATGTTGATGGAAATTCGGCGACTTCTCCAATATATTTTACTTGAATATATTGCGGAAAGGAAGTGGCGACTAGTTAAAAATAGTTTCATTTTGATTTGAAGGGTTTTAAATTTGGAGCCAAGAAATCCCAGAATTAAGCAGAAAATTGTCTATGTAAATTAAAAAAAATTAGATTCCATGATTTATGTTGAAGAAAATTATAACGAACAACACTTCCGGCTTAATATTTCAATATAATTCGGATGAATAATAATTAGAATAATCTCTAAAAGATTTTTTTTAAATTATATTATAAACATCTTCTCCAGGCAATAAAACATAGTAAACTTCGCTATTTTTATTTATTATTTCATATTTTTTCTTTATATAATATGTATATTAACCTGCACCTCTTTAAAATATTAATTTTAATTGACCAATTGTTTGATAAAAACTTGTAAATTTTGATAAAGGTTTGAAATGAAAATAGCCCATTTTTTGATAATAGTAACAATTAACAATGATGTAATTTTAGAAAGATTATGTTTAATTTTTCAGTAATGATGCTCCACACCTTTTTATGTAGTGTTAAAGAACAGAATGTTAAAGAAGGAAGTGCGGGAAGGTTTTGTCTGGCGTTCATTGTTTCTAATTAAATCGTATTTGATGTTATCACACCACTTCCGCCGCTCTGTTCTCATGAATGGATTCAATGGACACAAGTTGGTATGAAAACAAACCAGATATAAACAAGATTAATCAATGGACGGGATAGGCCAACCCATAAGTGTGCGTACAAATTTGATATAAAAACAACGCAATAATTACGAAAGCGCACATAATTTAATAGCATCCAAATGAATTATCAAAAAGTACACAAGAAAGGAATTCATGCATGACCAAACCAGTGGAGAAGAAAATAAGCTTGTTTTTCCTTCCGTTTACTTGAACCAATTATTAAAATCGTAAAAAAAACATTTTTTTTTAAATTATGAAAATGAAATTAAGATATTTTGTTTAAATCAATCATTTTAAAAATTCGAACTAAAATAATAAGATAAATTCGTTTGACCGAAATTCTTGTTGCGTCTCAAATAAAAACAGCAAAAGGAACGAGGAAAGTTAAAAATAATTTTGTAGAAATCGTCGGAATTCTAATCGCAGACAATTAGCGCGCAATCCCTTTTTACCTCCGAAAGTTTTCTAATAATTTGCATTAGAAAGAAAACCGAATGCAAATTAATCGGTCGAATCCTGATTCGAAATCCACGTCACGTCAAAATTCTTGACGGTGCCAACCTTTGCAAGGTCATGTCGAAAGGAAGGTACAACTTCCCACCCGAGCGCCTCGGTAAAAGAATTGGGGCTAAAAAAGTCGCAGCGATTTTACACCAATCGATAAACAGGCGGAGTTATCACGTGTAGAACGTCGGCGGCCGATCGAATTTGGCCGCCGTCGGCCCTTTGGCTGCCGAGGGCGATAGAAAACGCCAACAGCATCCCAAAGGATCCCAGTTGGGCATCAATGCAGACTCTGTCACTTGGTCGCAGCATTTTGTTTTGGTACACAATGGCACGAACCGAGGCACGAACCCGCACCCCAATTTCGCTCAACATTCTCCCCATCAGCAAAATTAACTCACCGATTTCGCTTTTCCCGGCCAAGATGCCCAATCCTAAAAGTATGCTGGATTTACTCCGTAAATTTCCACTAGCAGCCATCTCTGCTGCCATTTTTATCTTACTCTGACGTCATTAAAATCAAAGCAAAAAGATTTCTTGAGAATTGGCGCTGCTGATCGGCGGCGGCCACTCGAAGCTGCCCCAGGGGCGGAGCCCAATGGCGCCAAAAGGCAGACGGTATCTTTGAGCACGAATTTCTCAAATAATTTTTTGGTGAAAAACTAAATATAGTGTTTATGCATGTTTCATTTAAGCACAATTTCAGATTTTAAATAAATTTTTGAAAAACTTCTTTGGCATGTTATTATATTCCAGAGTTCCTGATGACAGAATTTTTGCACTTTTTTGGTAGATATGCATATATCCTCCGCTTAAAATTTTTGTCAGGAAACAACATCAAGGTCTAGCAATTAATTTTACGGGATAATTTTGCGAAGCTATAACTCGCAGCAAAATGCAGCCAATTTAAGATGGAGTCATTCATTCAATTAATATTTCTTTCTCGTCAGTACTACGTACAGTTCCAAAAAGGTTTTCAAATTTTTGCTATTGGCATTCTAACAAAATAAAAAATGGGCTAACAAAATTTATATGCAATGAATAAATATTATGCAAACATTGCATTTGCAGATAATCATTTCTTTTGATATTTCATTAATGCTGGAGCATGTTGTGTTGTCTAAAACTAACAATGGTGCAACCTAGAAACTGTATTTGGTTCTTTACTATATCATGAAGCATTATAAAAAATATCAATTGATAAGTTAAGCAGGAAATCACATCCTTTCCTATTATGTTACAATCATGAATGACTTCAATAGAAGTTTAACCATTTCTCTTATCAGTGAGAATAATGTTTTTTTTTTTGGGAGAATAGAATCCATAATAAAATTATGAATATAGCTTAGGTTTGATTGGATAAGTCAAAGTTGTTATTTTTGGGTTTTTCAATTTAATTTTAGAAAGAACAGTACAATCACTTAGTCTTGACGGCCTTAGCCTGGGCCTGTTGCGCCTTAAGAACCTTGACGACAATCTTCTGTTCTTCAATAAGGAAAGCGCGGACAATCCTGAAAGAAATATAAGATAATTAATTTATTAGGATGCTTATGTACCCAAATCCTAAATATCAGAAATATCGTAATCGCCAAATATTCAAATAATAAAATCAAATATTGAAATACTCGTAATCAGAATAAATTTCTGAATGAAAAAATGTGTTTCTTTCTTTATAGAACGTTTCAGATTTAATTTTAAGCAAAATCACGCAGTCAAAGCTCTCAGCTCTCATTAAGAATAAGTTTCTCTGGATTTGAGTTAAATCTTAAATTATCTCTAACAAAAACTGCGATTTAAGAACAAACCTTTCTTTCACGCAACGGTGGCACATGACACCTCCGTAACTCCTGCGGACAGACTTCTTATGCCTCTTCACGCGCGACTTTTCCATGGGCCTTGCAGGCTTGATTCCTCTGAGGGTCTCTTTGCATCCTCCGCACTTGGGAGCCTTCTTCGATTTCTTAGTGTACTGGTAGACGAGACGGCCTCCAGGGGTCCGTACCCTGAAATTTGCAAGTTCGTGATAAACTAGTATGTACTCCAAACAAAAACATGTGTCCCCCAAAAGACCAAAACAAAGCGGCTGCTGGGCCAACTTTCTTTGAAAACCGAATCGAATTCCGGCCGAAGATCAATCAGAACTCAGGGCTAATCAACTTGGATTCGAGAAATTCTGCCAATTTCAACTTACACTCGTCTTTTGTTGCTCTGAGTGTTATAACTGAGGCGCCTTCTGTAAACCAATCGCTGCACCATGGTGGCTGCAAAATCAAAAGATATCCATGTATTTACGACATCTCACCCAGAATTATTACAAAATATTGAAGGAACAGGGGTTAATGATGTATTTTGTAAAGTTTTTAAGGTAAAAAGCTAAAGGATGAATTAGATAAAACGAAAATTAAAAAATTCACACGCACCGATCGTTTGATGACAGTACAGTTAAAAGATCGTGCGATCGTGGGGGCGTCAACGCGCATGCCCCAATGTGACGTCACGCATGGCACGTAAACAAATATGGCGGCTCTCTTGGAGACCTACGAGCAGCAGTATGCAGTTTTAACCGCGGATATTACCTCTAAAATCGGCCGGATTCCGAATTTAAGTGGTTGTAAGTATTTCAGAAAAACGCAGCTCAAGATTTCATCGTTTTTGAGCCGTTTTCTTTGTGTTTTGTCCACTTTTACACCGCTTGTTTGTTACCTTGTCAGGACCAGTGACGGAAAAATGGCCTCGTCTTTTACATATTCCGGTCCGAATGTGGCCGAAATGACTCCAGAAAAGATCTTAGAGTGCACTTTGGAAGAAATCCAGACCAAATGCGGTCTCTCGCTCAGAAAATGTCAGCAGCTGAAGCGAGACGCGGCATCAAAAGTACTTAAAGCCCAGTTTCTGCCACTCAACCGGCTGCCTTTGTTGTCCAAACTGACCACCGGCTGCTCAAAAATCGACTTCCTTCTCGGCGGGGGGCTTTGCTCCCGGGGGATCAACGAGCTGTCTGGAGCCAGTGCATGCGGAAAGACACAATTCTGCCTCAAACTCTGCCTGACAGCACAGTGGCCAAAGAGTCTTGGCGGTTTTGAAGCTGGTGTTTTGTACATTTCCACGGAGGGTCGGTTTCCATCTAAAAGACTGAACCAGTTGGCCGCCAGAATCGCCTCAAGGACTGACTTGCCAAAGGAAGTCACAAGTCTCCCCTACTCAGACAACGTGTTTGTACGACAAATTGGAGAAAAGGAGGATTTAACTAAGTGTCTGTCGGACGGGGCTGCTCTGATGGCTGCTCGACCCGTTCGTCTGATCATCGTCGATTCAATAGCAGGCGTTTTTCGAACAGATTTGGATGCTGGAGCCGGAGAGAGGGCCAAGTCTTTGCGAGCAGTGGTCAGACAGATGGAAATTTTGTCCGGGAAGTTTGACGCTGCTATTCTGTGTGTGAACCAAGTAGCCGACGTTGTGTCCGAGGGAGGTGGAAGTCAGCAAGTGCCAGCTTTGGGCCTCAGTTGGGCCAACCTGCTCAGAACAAGAATGTGGATGAGCAGGACAGGGGACAAGCGATTTTTAGAAGTTGGGTTTTCTCCCGAAGTGCCGAGTGGTGTCAAACTTCAGTTTGAAATTTCAAATGATGGACTGAGTGGCGTTTGATTTGAAAATAAAATTTTAAATAAAATAAAATTCTCTGGATAAATACTGTGATTTTTGTCAAATTTCCTTTTTTTAAAGAATAAAATTTTCTGAAATAAATAATAAATATTCCAAATTTGGTTTCAGCAGACAGAAAAGATGCAGTTTTCAACACCGAGAGACAAATTGAGGAGGCCAAAGAGCTTGTAAGTTTTAGAAATAAAAGATGAATTCAGAGATTTATGTTTGATTTTTAGCTGGAACAAATGGAGCTCGAAATTAGAGAAGTCGATTCTACCTCCAGACCAAAGTATGCAAATAGGCTAGACAGCTACAAAGCTGAATTGAAAAGACTTATGACCGAGCTCAAATCAAAATCCACTTATCATGATGGTATGTAATAAAATTGGAGTAAAAATAGATTCAATTCTAAATTATTTTTGTATCTTCAACAGGCATGAGTGAGGACAATGCCAGTTTATACGGAGATGCAAGCAGTACTGGTTTCCAAGAGGAGCAGAGGCAGAGGCTGCTGGACAATTCAGAAAAAATTGAGCGGACAGGCAGACAACTCCAGGCAGGATACAGGATTGCCCTTGAGACTGAAGAAATTGGGACTGCTGTAATGAGAGACCTCCATTCACAGCGGGAAACTTTGCAACGTGCTCGGAATAGGGTAAGTACAACCGAATTTACTTTTTTTTAAGCTAAGGAATATTTTTCTTGTAATTTACGATGGAATTTTTGTGCAGTTGCGCGAAACCGACGCTGAGCTTGGTCGAAGTTCTCGGATTATAAATTCCATGATCGCCAGATCCATTCAACATAGAGTGATATTATTTGTGGTTGGAGTGGCCATTGTCGGTGCTATCATATTTGCCATTTACGTTGCGGCATCTAATTAACGTCCTCATATTTGAAAAAAAAAAAAATGTTCTGCGGCAAAAAGTGATTTCTGTGAAATGTCCTACTTTAAGAAAAACCTTGGTTTTTGCTAGTCACAGTGATTTTTTTTATTTTGTGTTTGTAATTTTTGAGTGCCAAACGCCCTCCGTTGTTGATTCCAAACCACCTTAATGTTTTCCTATGATTAATTTTATTATTTACTAGGTTCAATGATTGATGCATTTATACAAAATATCACTCATCTATCAAACAGGTATTGATATAATATATTAAAAGACAAATCAGTTAACAACTTCAGCATTTTATTAATAAATAGCCAACAGAATTTGTCCACGGGAGCATTTCCAACTAGAATAATTATTGATTTTTCCATTGTCGGTTGACATTTTCCTAGCAAGGATAAATTTTAGTCGGCCCTTGTATGCTACAACTAATATATAAACAATGACAGTGCTAATGAGTTTGAAGAGGCCAATTTTTCAACAACTTTTTATTGCGTTCCGAACAATTCCTCCTCAAATTTTGATGGTTTTTAAATTAAAAGTCTTGACTAGCACTCCATTATCAATTTAAACGTTACAAGCAAATCTGCAATTTTCCCACACATTTCTCAATAAGAACCAAATCATTCTGAAGTGTATCGGTGCTTCAAACCTCCAAAACTTTTCGATATACAGGCGTTGTTGAGTTATATGCAAAATATTTGCATTGTGAATAACTGTAACAGTGCTACGACCGTTCGATTAGCTACTCATTAAAGAGGCGAAACTTTCTTCTTTTATGGTACATTAGTCCTATCCAAGTTGGATTATACGTTTTAATTAATTGCAAATTTTCCTAGTAATTCAATCATCACTCAATAAAATCGGTGCACTGATTTTCATCAGTCGATGCCTTGGAAGGCAAAAACGTGGTCGGAAAATGATGAGGGTGGCGCACAGTCGGTGAATTTAGTCAACGCTTCTAATAGTGGCTTGGGAACTAATTAAAATTAGATGGTCATTCACTCTTTATATTACCAACCACCGAACAAAAACAAACTAGTTGTTTTCATTATGAAGATGTCATGAACTGAAATAATTCTGCACAGCCAGACGTGAGCTCTTCTGACACAACTATTCTCTCCTTACTTAAAAACATCTTTTCCCAACTCTGTTTTTTTTTCACCACTGACAACTATAATATGACTCTCAACCAAACTCTACTTACTCACTGGAGGGGGCAAATCAAACAAAAAAATCGGTCAACTCACAAGATTTACATAGGATTCATTAGCACATTATTATACTTGTCGCACATGAATTTATATAAATTCTGATATATTTATCACTCGGAATTGCTCAACAATCTTCTACAGATCAGCGCCGAAGAAAAGAAAAAAAATGTACACAAAAAATTGGCGTAGAGAAACCAAAAGGAGATAAATGGTTAGACTACTTTTAAAAATAGAAAGCAGTAACAGTATCATAATATTTAGGAATGTGATTCTCAATCGATATCAACAAAGACAATCGAACAAAATTTTCAGAGCGGAAAAAGTACTCGTCGATATAATTATTCAGTAGTAAGACTACACGATTACTTTTCTGCCTTTTTCATAATTGACCGTGAAAATCTCGCTGTCGCACCTCTCTTTCTCAAACAAAACTTCATTCCAACGGGTCGAGGGATGAAGGGGGCAATTTTTTTCCATTCAAAGGAGGGAAAATTTTAAAACATATCATTGAAGAAAACATTCTACAGTCGTCTACCCTTCTTTCTTCGCGTCCCCATACATGTCTATCACTTAAGTATCAAAAGGCTGCCTGTGTCCCTAGAGGGATCTGGAGCTTCTCCAGCACAAATTGTCCAGCACTGTCTGCTCCTTAATTCTCTTAGATGAGTTTCGCGTACATGTCCTCAATCTGCGGCTTGAAGTATTTCTTCAATTGAGGCCGCTTCGACTTCATGGTGGGTGTTAGGAGACCGTTCTGAACTGAGAACGGATCGGGGTGCAGGTAAATGTCCTTAACCTGCAAAATTGTTAATTATTTTTACAAATGAAGTCCCATTATTATTATTTTTTTTAGAATTTTTTTTATAAATTGAAGTTAATTTTGCTTATTTTTTAAAACGAGGTTGCTTTTTTTACCTGCTCGAAGGATTTGAGTCCAGCCTCCTTTCCCCAGACAATCATGTCGTCCAAAATGAGGCGTTTGACCTCCGAGTGGGCGCAAAGGACTGAAAGGGTGCCGGCGATTTGGTTTTCAGACGCCCACTGCTTGATTACTTCTACGTCAGGCACAACTACAGCCACAATACACGACTGTAAACATACAAAAAAATTAAAAATCATACAAGTTACGGTGCCATTTCAGTTCAATTGTGAAACATAATTTTTATTTTTGTACGCTAAATTTAAAATTTTGCTCAATTTCATTTAAATTACCATAAAAAGATATCAACTGAGCTTTAAAATGACTTCACTTTATATAAGCGCAGCTTAGATTTGTGATAATAAGCAATGTAAAGATCTAAATTTTGCAAAAAGAAGAATCTTTTAAAAATGATGAAATTTTTAATAAATCGTGCGCATTTAAAATTAAATTACTTCATTGTTAACTCTTTTTGAAAATTTCAAACTATTCAGTTTTATTATCTAAAAAGCTTCTCACCTTCAGTGATTCTCCGTGGACAAATACTTGTTGCACATACTGGCTACGAATGTAAATGTTTTCGATTTTCTCGGGAACAATGTACTCGCCCTGCGACAACTTGAAAATGTGCTTCTTCCTGTCAATGATTTTCAAAGTCCCGTTCTGCAGTAACAAAATTAAATGTCAGTTTCCATCCAATTTTTCAATAATTTTAATTGAAACTCACGGGAAGCCACATTCCGATGTCGCCTGTATGCAGCCAGCCGTCGGGCCCTATTGTCTCCCTGGTCTTCTCTGGCTCCTGGAAGTAGCCCTGGAAAACGTTGGTGCCCTTGACGCACACCTCGCCCTGGTTGGCGACGGCAAAGTACTCCATTTCGGGGACGTCGACCAACTTGACTGAGCAGCAGGCCACGGGTGGGCCGACGTGTTCAGGAACATAATCACCTTGGACAGTCAGGGTGACTGGCGCGACGCACTCGGTCTGGCCGTAGCCTTCGACCACCTAGAAAATCCAATCAAAGTTAATTTGGTTCAAAGTAAATTTTGATGTAAGAAGTTGTACCAGGCATCCCAAGGCACATCTGGCGAAGGTGAGGACGTTGGCAGCCAAAGGCGCTGAACCAACGATCATCAGTCTCAGTTGGCCACCCATTCCCTCCTGCACCTTTCTGAAGACCAGCTTGTCCCAGAAACTGTTTCTCCTGATAATACCCCTGAAATTGAATATTTGATCTTTATTCTAATATTTAATAATATTTTATGAAAACAATTTAACAAAAGACTATGGAGTGAAGCTGTGCTATTTTTTTTTTTTATTAATACTGTTAGTTTCTCATTTTTTTTTTATTTAAATTCTGGAATGTTAATTTTAATTTTTGAAGATGTGAGCTTTTGAAAAATAAACACCGGTCATAGATTTAAATTGAAATAACGCTTATTTTTTATTTAAATGCAATTTTCAAAAATGTCAAACTTGTGTTCTGTCAATATTTTAATCTTCTCTTACTGTTGAAAAGGTGGCTAATTTTTACTTTTTAAATTAAATTTAATCTTTTAATTAAATTTAAATGTTGAATACTATTACAAAAAATAATTAGCAATAAGTGGTAGAGGTAACGGTTCAAACAGTTTTTATTTTATGTTAATAATCTAAAAAATTGTATAAAAAATATTAATTTTTATAAAAAAAATTCATTTTACTTCCTTAGCTTAAATTGTCTATATTTTAATGGATTTGAATTTTTACCTCCTGATTTCGTTCTCTTTGCTGCTCATGGCCATATTGTAAAGGGTCCTCTTGATAAATGAGTTGCTGATGTCCGCCTGCACCTTGTCAAAGATTCTGTTGAGCAGCCTGGGCACCGCCGGCGTGACGGTGGGTTTGAGCGCCTTCATGTCGTCAGCCAGTCTTTTGACATCGCCAGAGAAGAATCCAACCGCGCCACCCACAGTGTAGATGCCGATCTGTTGAGGGAATTTATTTTTCAATCAGATGATTAATTCAATTAATTAATTAGAACTGACCTCGCAGCATCGCTCGAGCATGTGTGCGAGGGGCAGGAAAGAGATCATGATGTCAGTGTTGGTGATTTTGTGATCGCCCAGCTGCATTATCACCGAGGCCACGGCGGCCACGACGTTTTCGTGGCTCAACATGACACCCTTGGGGTTGCCGGTTGTGCCTGAGGTGTAGCAGATTGTGCACACGTCGCTCGCTTTGGGGGGCTGCAAATAAATCACTTTAAAATGAAGTAACCTGACAGGTTATTTTTTTAAAGAAGGCAAAAAATTATTATATTACAGAAGTCAAAATCGCCATGAAAAATTCGCACCTTTAACCATTGAAATCACATAATTTAGAAAAGAATTATGAGCCTCCATGAGAGTCCATATTAATTTTCATAAGCAAACGAAAACAGAAATTGATGATTTTTCAATTAAAAGTTTACTTTTTTCTAGACTGAAGATTATTACCTCTTATTTGAAGCTTTTTTCATCGCGATTTTAACTACGTCTGAACAAAAATAAACTGACGCAACTTGCGTTGCATCAGAGCTGAGCAGATTGCATAACCATCCATATACAAGGCGGTGCCAAATAGTCCAAAGCATTTTAATGTTTTGCGGAAATTACTTCTCGGACGGAAGTCGGCGACAGTTTTATCGAGTTGTTCGGAGGGAAGCAATAAAACGCGAGCGAGGCCATTTAGGCAGCATGACATTTCGCAGATGGCTGGAGATGTTTTTACGAGTTTTTACTCACCACTTCTTTATTGCCCTGCGCGGCTCCCAAACGCTCAACCTCCTCGAACTTGAGGATTTCGATTCCTCTGTTCTTTGCTCGTTGATTTGTGGCCGGACGAACTTCCTTCATTGTGATCAGCCGCTTCAGGCATTTGGGTGGACGGTCCAGCAGGAGGTTGCACTTGCCATCGTCCTCACAAACGACAATATTGATATTTGCTGGAATTCAAAAGGAATAAAATAAAATATTAAAAAAACTATGATTTGAGTAGAATAAATAATAATAAAAAGAGGAACAAATTTTTGAGAGAGAAATGCGCCAACATATCATAAAAATTTAAAAAAAAATGCAATTCTAAAGAGAAATTTTAACACCTTTATTCATTTACTTAAAGGTAATAATTATCTTACTTGAAATAATTAAAAATTGAATCTGTTATTTAAAAAAAAAACAATTTAAAAACAATCATGGTTAACGTGATTAATTTTTTATTTCTTAAGTGCAATCAAAATGTTTGTAATTTTTTATAAACAAAATAAATCTGCATTTCAAACCTTGTTTGATGATATAGGCGCACGCGTCGGGGCCGAGGGTGTCGTACAGAGGCACAATGACCATCGAGAAGCAGTAGGCGCCCTGCTCTGTGAGCACCCATTCGGGGCAATTCTGGCTGTAGATACCGACAAATGTATTCGGGTTTGCCTCAAGACCAAGGGCCACCAGCCCCGAGCCAAAGTTCTTGGCCCTGAGCAGCGCCTCGTTGTAGTGCAGCCATTGGTACGGTTTGGTCGGCGTTTCGCGCCACCCAAGACAAGGTCCATTATCTGCACAAAAATAATTAAACATTTTATTTCAATGAAAATCTCCCAAATTTAGTAAATTGAGAAAAGAATGTATTTTTAATTAAGGCCATTTCAAACGCGCTCAAAAGAAGTTAAAATAATTGAAAACTAAACAATACATTAAATTGATTTCAACGATTTCAAACAGTTTAATTATAAATCATTTTAATTTGTTGAAATTTTTACGTCCCATTACTTGAAATAATGATAAAATTATATTATTTTCTCTATTTGAATAATAATAACATGTGTTCTAATTAATATTAATTGCCTAAATTATTTCCAATTATTCTATTTCTGACCAAATAAAAGTTTCTGAACATTTCAAATTGAAATTTTATTTTTTGGAACTAAAAAAATTTGAAATTTTTGAGACCAATAAAAATATTAGCTTTCTCAACTTCTTCTGTTGATTTTTTTTTTTAAGGATTTTCATTGACTTACTTGATTCCTTAGCACCACGCCTGAAAGAGTCGTACAAGGTCTTTGTATCGGCGTGGAGGAAGCGGAGGAATTTTCCTTCTTTGGCCTCCTTGTAGAACTTTGAAGTCCGCACCAACTCAGGTCCCTATGCAACAAACAAATCGTCCGTTAATACAAAAAACAGAATTTTCTATCATTATCCTCATCTACGGTCTCGCAGTTATCACGACAGTAATAATTATGATTATAATCTCTCGTGCCGAGAGCAATGAATCTTTTCATTTAAAATAACGCTGTTTGCTAATGCAGGAAGAAATACAACCGGCGAGTTATAATATAATATAAATAATTGCAGGGAGAGACGCAATTTGAAAATAATAATCTCTGCGTCGGTGCATCGTGACTGAAAAAGTGCAGAGACAATTACACTTGCATTTCACAATTCAGTTTTGAAACGTGTACCTAGATTCATGAGTATTATTAATTTTGATCACGTGGCGATTTGTTACTTTCACACGCCGACTCGCATCCTCACAACGAATTTCATCTTTTCGCGTTTTATTTCAAGAGGAATAAGTGAAGCAGTGGGTCGGTCGGCTTTCGGTACGTAATAACACGGCGGATTATTGTAAGTCTTGTAAGAGCAATTATTGTGAGTGAACATGCCGACGGGGAGATAAGAAATTGCACGTTCGAGACGAACGTGTGTGTAATTATATACACGGCCGGCTGAATTCGAGCCACGTTCGTCGGCCGGACTGACAGTCTCAATGAATGGCTTGGCGCTTTTTCGCCCAGACTGTGAAAAAATTAGTCTCGAGCGAAAAGTCCGAGCAATTTGTCTTTCGTTCTAGAGCAATCGATTCAAACATTTAATTTCTCCTGTCAACTTTTTAAAAGGAATTTCAGAAATTTTTAATTGTTTTAGACTTTTTGCTCACTCTAGATGAAAAATTTTCTTTAGGAAACATTGTTTTTTTCCTCATTTTCTTTTGGTAATGGTTTAACAAAATGGACAAATTAACAATAATTATAATATTTAATCTTGAAAAATAGTTATAAAACTTGCTTGTATATTAAAAAAATTTAAGCCGCTGATGTTAACTTACAAATTTGTTAAAAAAGTAAGAACTTAATTAATTTGCTACTTAAAAAAACAGTGAATAAATTTAATATTTTAATTATCAGTTATTCTTTGCTCATTTCATTTGAATCAAAAGCTACAAATTCATAGAATTTAACTAACTTTCATGTCATCTTTTGCCATATTATCTAAATATTAACCCATATATTTTGTGTGTGTGAAATATTCCTCTCTACATGTTTATCCATCTGCGTTCTAAAACAGTTCATTCCGATTCTTTCATTTTGCGTCATCCACCTGCTGCTATTCGCTCCCAATATTTGCTCCAACATTTGCTCTTTCTCTCTCTCTCTAGAGAGTTTATTCGCGTTACACATATTCAAGGATGGTCCAGCAGGTGCTGCTCGTCAAGCGACCAAACAGACCCTTTTAAGTGCACACGCTGTTTCAACAACAAACACAATCTGTGTCAATACAAATTATTCTTATTTTGCGCTTGTCTGTCTGGTGGAGCAACGGACATAAAATAAAATCCAACAGCTTGAGCAACCAACAAAAATCTGGGCCGAGGCCCAGAATTTGAAAAGACGGCCGCGCGCGCAGCTGGTTGGAATAAATCGAATAAATGTGGCGCAACTGATCTGATTGTGCTCTCTGGGACCGATCAAGCGTGATTGCTCTTTTTGTCTAACTGTAACGACTTCAATGAGCAAGAAAAGTCGAGAGAGCCAGTTGTGCGTGAGAAGCGATTGAATACTTTGATTGTTTCTATATAAAAGTAATTTATTGTGATTCGCTATGGTTTTGTGTCCTTCACATCTTCCAAGACAATTGTTTTCTAGAAATAATGATAGTGTAATTCAAGTTGGATCACACTTATGCATTGTATAATAATAATAATAATGTAGTTGTAATTTCACAACTTATGATGGAATGAAATTATTTTTTCAAATTGTATTGTTTCATAAAATAAAAGACATTTTTAACTTTTTTCCTCTACACAAGTGTGTGATTTAATGGTTATTTTACTAGAAATTTTTGGTGTGACTAAATTTCATGCCCATTTTATTGCTGGATTCAGTGGCATAAAATGTTTTGAGTGAGACCATTTTTCATGGAATAAAATCCAACTTCCTCTGGGAAGATTAGAAACTTTATTCATTCTGCAGTGAATTCTTTAACTTTAAAAATGACTCTTAAAGTGGAGAAGCATCAAAAATTGAGGTAACCAAGAATAAATTTGAAACCACAACAGTTATAAAAATTAAATCAAGTCTTTAATAATGAAGAGTATGTATTTGATTATTAGCAGAAACATCCGTAGAGTTAAACTGCGGATTTTTACGATTTTTTAAGCCTGCTATAAAAATCACTTGGTTTAGATGCTTAAATCCACTCAAAACCTTAAAGTTTTTTAATGTTATTGCGAAACCAAAAATAAAAGTAACAAATATCTGTAAAAAATGTGTGTAACTTTTTAGTTTGAGCTCTAAAAATACAAATCGGCTGTTGTTTCCTTTTAACAAAAGTTTTACATTCTTCTGCCAAAGTATCGCGAAACCGTGACTATTCTCTTGTATACCTTTCCAGACGCCAGACTCACTAAAATTAGCATCCACACGTATATTGAGTCATTAATCGAACGTGGTCTCGCGGCGTCGCCATTCTTATTTGTACAGAAGTGGCGATAAAAAAGTGCCAAAGCAGCCGCTCTATTGTGTCCCCTGCACAAAATATTGACCAAAGCATGATGTGTGTTTATTTTAAACTGCCGTGATGGGGCATTATTATTTTTACGAGAGAGTTTTACACGCGGGGTCTCTCGTCAAACACACTGTCATAAATTAGTCGGTCTAGCAGAGTGGCGAGCCCCGTCGGCGGGCTAAAGTTAGCAAGGAAAACTCTATGAAATTAGTCACGCCTGCACGCAACTTACTTTGATCAGCTCAGACTGATTGTTCATGTCGATCGGCGGCCGCATCGGCTGCACTGAAAGGCACTTCATGGTGCTGCACTTTGGAGTTAACACCCACCGACTGGGTTTTCGGAAGAAGTGGTGAACACTGCACTGACTGCAATTCACGAATTAAAAAAAAAAAAATGTAACCTGATCCCAAATAAAAAATAATTTTGATCATGGGGTTGATTTAAAATAATTTTACTTGAAAATTGTGAAGAACATATTAATTCTTGAAATTATTTCAGGACCGTTTATAAATAAAATAAATATTGGCTAAGGAAAATTAAACAATTTGGAACAAAAATAACTGCCGAATATTGAAAAAAATTAATGTCGGTTTGGGAAACGCAAAATTTCTTTACCAAGAGAGAAAAACTTTAAATTTTAAGGTGGCATTAAAAAAAATAGTTTAATCAGAATATCAGAAAGAAATGAATTAAATTCAAGCTTGTAAATAAGCGAGAATAATTAAAGTTGTGGTTAATAAATTGTATAAAATGACTAACTTATTAATAATTATCAAAAATTAATTTTTTATTTAAAACCAGTTTAAAATTAAAAAATTAAAAAAAAATTAAAAGAGTTTTAAAATAAAAACTATTTATTAAACTAAAATGAATTGTTTAAATAAATTATTTAAAAAAATTAATTTGGGCACTTCGAAGAGTAAAGAAGTTTGTCGTCTTGACATTAAAAGTCTAATTAAAACCAACAATCAAACTACTTGCAAGGGTTGGATGTACGTATAAAAACCTCGGCCTGATATCAACAAAGGCGTGCACAGATAATGTATGTATCGGCGGCGACTCACGCCTCTCCGCGGTAATTAGACGCGGCAATAATAACGAGAGGGTTGTCCGAGGGCCGTGCGTGCGTACCGATTCAGAGTGAGCACTGGCACTAGCTGCTGGTCCGCGGCTATAATTGGCCCCTATCACCAGCCTCACCGCCCCACCGGCCCTCCCTTGTAAAGAAGGTCCGCGCGCTGTTGTGTCGGGGCACGGCGCCAAATTTCGCCCAAGACGCGCCATCGGCACGCGGCGCTCAAAACCCAAGTTCAGCGCGCGTCTGCACTTGACTCCAAGGACAATCGCTAACTCTCTAGTGGACCTTTTTATAGCGGTTTTTATAACTCTGTTGGGCAATTGGAAACAAGTTTATCCGCGGGGGGAGAAAAAATATTCAAGTAAAAAAGATTTGCAACGTTGTATTTTCAAAAAATTACTAGAAGACCAGAATAAAAACATACGGCTTGTTAAATCCTGCTGGCTAGATTATCGCAAAGAGATTATGAAGTTTATAAATTTGTAGCTCAGAAAAACTGTTTTAATCCTGAATAATTTAGAAGTGGAAAAAATATTGATTTTAATTATTTTTCAAAATAAACATTATTGTTTTGAATAATCAGTGACTGAAATTTAAAATAATTAAACCTAGAAGTTAAACAATAAATGGGTAAAATAATTAAAAGCTTTACAAACTTATCGGTTTGAAACAGTTCAAAAATTTTAAAATTTACCATGAAATTTCAACACAGCTTATGCAGGTGTACAAAAATTTTGGTGTGCAATTTTTCTCCAGTGAAAAAACATTGTAATTCTCGCATGTAAATCAATATCCCCCTTTTGCCTACTATGGTAATGATGTAGAGTGACTGAGCAATTCTCTCAATAGCAATTTCAGTTAAGAAACTTATTGATTAAAAACGGTTTGTTTTAACTATGCAAGATTAGCCTAAACATCGAGGCTAAAATTCTTTATCCTCTTTAATACGGATTGTTTTTCTTCTTCTTTTTAGTTCGACCTGATGTTGTTCAACACATTATTCCACACTATAATTTCATCTATCCAGCGCAGTTGCGTGCAGCGCAGCTTCTAAATCTTTCACCAGCCAGAGCAAACATTCCTCGGTCCCAACTCTTTCTAAGTGCCAGTCCCTCTATTAAGTTACCCCTTTTTATTCGCGTTTTGACATTTCACTTTCGTCGCTGAAAGAAAGAGCAGAGGAAGGGTTGGCCGCGAAATAACGCGGGCCATTCATCGTTTGCTGCGGCCAATTTGTAAACATTGCCGCTCAAAGGCATTCCACGCCGGAATCGAAGGGGATCGTTAACCCCTTGTTAACTACGGTGTACGTGCCCATTCATGAGAAAGTTTGAATACAAAAATAAATAAAGATTCACTCTATCTTGCGTAAGAACAATCAATGAACGAAATTTCTAGAGTATTTTTTACTTCTTTCAAAAAGTCGTGACAGTCTATTTCAGGGTTTTGCAAGAGGAGCGCGTGCATGGTACGTCGTTAGGGAAATTTATCACTCCTTGGCTCATTTTGCCCCGAGAAGCAGAGTCGCCGTTATTGATTAGAAATTAATTTGTCAGGAAACAACATCTGAAATGATCATAAAATCATTTCCAGAATTTTAGCTACATTACAATTGCTCAGAAATCACAAAATTTGCTGCTCTGAAAATTTGGCTATTCATAAGAAACGAGGGAGAATTGTGAAGCTTTTTTTTATGGTCGATCCTGAACATAAGGCTGCTATTTTATTCTAGGTTTGAACCTTAACTTGTATTTAAAATAAAAATTAATAAACAAAAAGTAGCACATTGAGATACAAATAAAAATTTCAGGATCATTTGTGTTTTTGGGTAAGTGAAACGGCAAAAACTATTATCTTACCAATAAGGGTTCCCCCAAGAACCGAATCGGAATCCGCGGAATTTGTTGCTCGTCGTCGAAAGAAAGATTTTCGGTTCCAAAGCGCGTGACCGCCGCTTTTTGCGCCGGTGCCAATGACAATAATAGTGGCGTGTGCATCTCTTTGGTGTGACCGTCAGCTGATGCAGAATTATTACGAGTACATTGTGTGACTAGTCTTTGAGGCCATGTATTATTTCTAGTCCGCGGCACCGAAAATAAAGAGTGCATCTGCTCGCCAAAGACGCCGGATTTTGGCGTTTTGTAAACATTATTCTTGCAGCGCGTGATTAAGACAGCGATAAATGTGTACGTGGCCTTTTACTACCAACACTAAATATACACTTCTGGGATTAACACCCAGGGAAAGTGTAATTGCCCAAATTACCTAATCGCTCTGTTATTTCTCTGTCAGCAGGGCGTAAAGAATTGTAAAAAAAGGACATAAAAAGAGAAATTTGCTTCTTTTTATTCATTCCTTTGAATCCTTTGGTCTTCATTTCTACTTTAAAACTACTGACGAATGGGCTAATTTTTTCAAAGAGAAAATGATAAATCCGATAGCTCTGGTTAATTTTTTTCAGCTTTTGACTTTCTAAATGTTTTCTCATGCAGATTATCCAGAGAAAATTTTGGATTTTGGGTGTAAAATCATTCACATCTTTCTATTTTTTGAAAGAAAAAAAAATTATAAATATTTTTTAATTTTGTGATTTAAGGAGTTAAGGAAAATAGCATTCTTATTAAATCTGAATAAGGAAAAACAAGAATTTATTATTTTAAAATGTCATTCAAACACGCGTTTCATTGATGGGTTCCACGAAATGTTCACTCATTCTTGTAGTCAAAGAGTCGGAGAATCTTTTGAACTTTACCCAAGACAAACAAATAAATATTGAAAATCTCACAGCAGGCAACAAAGGGCAGTAAATATCCCTGCGAGGTTCATCTGCCGCCAAGTGCGGGAAAACTTGAGCTTGTAAATTAATCGCGGGTGCACCTGCCCCGCGCGCCGACAGTCGGCGGCGACGGCCAATTTAAATAAAAATGGGAGGCAAGGTTAGATTGAGCGGTCCAATTAGATAAATCGGCGCTGACTTTCACCATCATCCCCCCGAAAGCCGCAGGAATGCGAGCCCTTTGAATTTGGTCAATCCTCCAATGGCCATACGAAACCAAAATTAATTGCACCTCTTTAGCTCGCTTGTGCAATAATTAAAATCGGGGTTGGCACCCAAAATAGACCGGGTGCATTGCATTGACGCGCCATCGAGAACGCGCCACCGACAGATTTACGACGCGGCTGCTCCAATTATTTTTATTTACGACGGAAATCCATCTCGCGCGCTTTTAATTCCTTCACGCGCCAAGGACGAGTTTTATAACTGCTACAAATTTGGACACACGCTCTGGACCGATTTGTCGCTCTGTATTTTTGCGAATGGGTTTATGAGCTCATAAATTCTGTGCGAAAATGAGATAAGTACAAACAGAAATAATAAAAAACAATATTTAATCGAATGTTTCGGTGTTAAACTTATTCACTGATTTAAATTAAATTCAAAGTCGGCTTTTCCTCGATGGGTTTATTTGTAATATTTTTTTTTCTTAAACAAAAAGCGACTCACAAAACCCATCAAGGTTAAGCCGAATTTAAATTAAAATTACAACAAGTAAGTTATGAATCAAATATAACACTGAATTTAAAAAATTTAAAATTCAAATATCTGCAATTATTTATCCTCAAATATTTACTTTTCCATTTTTATAATAATTTCTAAAGCTTTTTTGTCATAATTTAATTGATTTTCGTGCCAATTTTGTCGCTTTAGTGCTTTAGTCAGCGCCTTCCAGAATAACTTCATTAAAATTGACAAACAAATATATAAATTTAAATTGCGTAAAATTATTATCTACCTGTGATCAATACTTTGTAAAATAAAAAGTATATTTTTATTTGCTTTTACTTGAAAAAAAAATCACTTTTAAATTGTGTTAACGGTTTTTCTTGTAAACCATGCAAAGTGGGGAACAAAAAAAGTTATTTTATTTCCGTAATTTCAAAATTTTCTCAACGCTCTCCTTTCTTTTTATGTTTTGGTTTTGTATTTTTCCCTATAACCAATTATTAATCGCCATCCAATGTAGCAAATGCAATAATGCTATATTCCTGTATTTTTAAATGAAACTTACCGGTACAAGGTGACTCTGCTCATCGAGAGGCACCAATGGCTTTTCAGGTGTCGGTCTGCTGGCCAGGTAGTAGGCCGAAGCGGCGGCCACACCGGTCAGGGCGAGGGCGCCGGCAGGCCCACCAATGTAGTGCAGGTACTGGTCCATGTCACCTGCGAACAAAAACTGCACGTCAGATTTGATCCGAATTTTGACACTTGCAGGATAAAAGGAGCAACCAACATAAATGGATGCGTCAGATCGAATGGAAAAGTTTGAGTCGAAGCAGCAGCTGGACTTTGAATCGGACGGAAACGCACTGGAGCAGAGCTGATTTGATGCATTGTGCCGTTGCGAAACAAAAGAAAGCTTGTGGCTTTTTGTACAAGAGTATGGACGCAAAGAGACCAGAGATATACGTGCCTAGTGGTTTTAAGTTAGCAAAAAAGTCCAACTAGATGCATGAATAGGGAAATTTTGAAATAAGGTGACAATTAAATTTCTCAATATTATGGTAATTTTTTATGGTTTAGGCAAAGAGTTTCAGTTTTTATCAAAGCAAATTAGATTGCAAATAAGCCTATAATTATGTAAAATGTAAACATAATTGTCTAAATAGAGAAAAAGAAAAAAAACTCTTTCGCATGGTTTTAATGGCTAGAAATTATAATGGTGGGAAGCTAATCGATGGTAAACAAAATTATTTTAATTTCAAATTTGTTAAAATTTTCTATCTTGCAACATTTTTTCTGATTTTTCTGCGCGCATTATTTGGCCTTTTTCAACGAAAATTCATACTTTAAGTGTAAAATTAAAGGGACCAATATTTTAATTTCATAGAAAAATATAAGCAGTTTTGATCCCGTTCATGATACAGAGCTTTCGAAACAAAACGTCTAGATTTTCGTTTCAGATATAAATCAGACTTTGGCAGCGAGCGTAGGTTTGATCTTGTGAATAAAAGAGTCGATGGTCGACGCGGGAGCGCGAGCGAGTAAATCGGGCCGCGTGATTCAGCAGCCGAGAGACAAAGCGTCGAATGAGGTACATAGTAATTGCGCCAAAGTGCAAGTGTGTTGTTAAAGAGCAAAAACGGCGTCTTTGGCATCGCTGGCTTCTCCGTTCATTACACGTCTTTTCACAATAAACGGCCTCCTCAGAGCTGCCAGCAGAATTCAAATTCGTTTTTATATTCCACTTTTTTTGCTTCTTAAACTTGACAGAGGCGAAATCGTATAAAATTCTCCTCTTTTTTTAATTGCAGAACAAGATGTGCTGCGTGCAAAAAGATGTTTACCTGTCTGTTTGAAAAATTCCGCTTTTTATCGCTGGACTGACCCTGAGTGAGGAAAAGTCGCGGCTTTCGGGGCCATCTATTTTTGTTTATCTAGCGAGTGTCACTCGGCTATTTCTGCGGCTGCTCTTCAAACCGTCCGCAATCCATCATCTCACCCCGTGAGATGTTTTCGTTGCGTCACCCCTGCCACATAAATATTTCAACCTGCCGCATTTCCGACACGATTTAGCCCATTTAATTTGGGGCGCAACAGCGGAACACAATCAAAAGCTTGTTAAAATCTAGCCAAATTTGTTTATTTATTGTTTACTGTAAAAACTTATTTATGTAGTGAATTAAATTAAGCTTTACACGCCAGTTTAGTCAAATTTATTCAAATTATAAATAAAAATATCTAAAGCTTAAAATTTTCTATTACTTTTTAATATATTTGTGTTTTGCTTCTAAACTGTATTTTCTTTAAACACAAAGAAAATTGGCAATTTTTTCACCCATTCTGGAGCATACATAAGAAAATACGAGATATTGAAGTTTAAACACCAAATGTTTCATTGAAAAAGCCTGGATGCCTCATATCAAACAGGTTATATATCTTGTGAGCACATAGACACATCACATCATGCATCTTTTGTTACATTTGCTATTATAAGAAAATAATCTTACAAAATTACGGAGAAAAGTTTTTTATAGTTTGAGGGAAGCCAAAAAAATCCATAGACATGACCAGACTGATTATCAAGGTCAGCTTATTTTTAATTTTTAGAAACAAATTATTTCGCTTTAAAATTTCAATTAAATAATGTACGAAAAACATTGTGCCAACAAAATTTTTTTCTAAATATGATTAAAACAATAAATGGGAAATATGGTCGATTGAAGCTTTCAAAATAGTCCAGGAAATCCTAAACTGTACTTTTTGGGTGAAAAAGTCAGAATAGTATATATAGTTTTCAGACTGGAAATGACTAATGTTTGATGAACTGGTTTAGAAAGCATGTGATTTTGGCGATTCACCGTTGCACATACAGCAATTATTGCACAATTAAACGCGGCAATTGCTTAGCCATACAACAACTCCATTATTTCGGCTTGGCGCCAATTAACGCAGTGTGCGCCCATTCTAATTGCTAATTCAAACCCCACGCCGCGTAAGCTGCCGAATATTGCGGTGGCGAGGAAAAGCTTTTAAACCTTTAAGGCTGCAGAGAGATGCGATGACAGGCTAACTGTCCAGGATAACTGTGTGCCGAAAATAAATACGAGGTCTATTTGCTCTCGATGAGAAAATTCACGCAGCTGCATGTCTGCGAAATTTAATCTCCTGTTCGAATCAAATTAAAAAAAAACCAAGTCAGGAGAGCTCATTATTTTTAAGCATGTGATACACGCTTGGCATGGAGAGCAAAAACACGCAATGACAAATGAGAATTTGAGTGGCTCACGTTCAAACAGCAGCACGTGGTCCTCCAACACCAACGATGGGGCGTCCAGCAGATTTTTCTCCATTTTTCAACCAAAAATTTGTTTTATATAATAACTCGATGAAGCAAACCAGATCAGAACGACTGTTCTTTATGCAAGCAAAAGTGCAACTGCCGTTTTATGTGGTAATAGGGGTGCGAGACTGCACCAAGGTGTCGAGGGTGCGTTCATAGGAGGGGGAGGTACAATAAGTTGCACCTGGTCTTGTTGAAAAATCAGCTGATTCCAAACTATTAGTTTAACTTTTTAAGTAATTTACTTCGTTAAAATATAGTTTTGAAAATTTGGAAAGTAACAGAAAAAATTGTAGATGGAGGACATGAATTTATTTGATATTTTGGTCAAGCCTGGCTCAAACGACTTTAAGAATCTCTAATCAACTTCAATAACTTATAAAATTTATAAATAAAACACCACTAATATCAAGCATATTAACATTAATACATTACATTAATAAACACAATTGTAACTATTAACGTAGTGTAATTTTGTTAATTATATATTTTTGATTTTTCAAATTTTTAAACAATCTCTGCTCAAATCGAGAAACATCATTCAAATACCACTTTGAATTAAGTTCCAACAAAGATTTTAGCGCGTTAGAATTTTTTTTTTTTATTTATAACTGGATTATTCTAATGATAAAACTTTCAAATAAAAACAAAAAAGGAATGCAAAAAGCAGGAAAAATGTATAATAAAATTTCATAATATTTTAATCAAACATATTAACTAATCTTGCAATATAATACGCAATTTTTTTTATCCACCAATTTAGAAATAATCGGTTTGGAACTACAGACAAGAGTACTATGATTAGGAACACCTCTCACATTGGTTTTTAATAAAATTCTAATAAGTTTTTTTTGCAGTTGTCTCCATATTATGCTTTTTGGGCTGGCGTGCGTCAGTGTCGGCCGATTCGTCACTAAAAACCGCGCCGTGTTAGGAATTCCGTAAAAGAGAAAATTGGGTCATTAGTATGCGCGGTGCCGAGCACGCCGCCTGTGTTTGTTTTTTCGTATAAAACGAATTAAGCAGGGCTCGTCGGCGGCGGCGGCCGCCGCCGTCGGTTTGCGCGATCGAGAGTTCAGTCACCCCGGCCGCGGCGCTCACTCGGCCCGGCCTTATTGTACATAAAGAGTGAGTGCTCGTCGCACCTCGTTTGCGAATTTGATATACCAGGAAATGCAAAAATCAGCATGAATGAAACGAAACGGGCACGCAGGCGGACAAGGTGCCGAGCGAGCAGAAAAGAAAAAGACACCCATCCTCTTTTTAAAATCACGCGACACCGAGCACGTTTCCAGCGTGACAAAAAAAAAATACATAAAAAAGCAGCTCTCTCGGTGTGCAAGAAAAGTTTACATGCGCCAGAAAGATTAAAAAGAGACGAACGGTGGTTCTCGCATTCTTATTTTGCAACTTTATAAGCCGGGCAACAAAATCGGCAGGTGGGATCAAAGATTGTAGGCAGCTGACGTTGAAAAATATCGTTAATGATTCAAGGAATATTGTCTGTTGATACAGATTTTGAGTTAGGAAAAAAATCGGATTTTAGAATTAATATATATTTGAAAACTTACGGAAGAAATATTATAATTTATGAATTCAAAATATTTAATATTATTGTTTGCATGTGATAAAATCAGGCATTTTGGAATTAAAGGCGAGCTTTTTGCTTTAATGCCAATGATTGGTGTATTTGCAGGATTAATTTATTAGTTTAAAGTTGAAAATTTTCAGATTACTTTATTATTTAATATTTTTCTCAATCAGTAAACAAAAACATTTTCTCCTCTTAAAAATTAAAAATAAATATTTATTTTATTCTAATTTTTGCCACATTTCAATCATTTTCCTAGACGATATTATCATTTGCAGAGTTTAATTTAAAAAAATAGGAAAAAAATCTGTTCTTTTGTAAGTGTCGTTTTTTACCTATATAATTTGATAATTGCTCCAAATTTTGCACAAGAGGAGCTTCAAATGACCTCAATGAGGTTAGCGCACAATAGAATATCATAATAATTGTTGTTGGTGGGGTTAACGACCTCTTTAAAAACGTACGTTCTCATCTGCTCAAGTTTGCTTTAGTTTTATTTTTTTGCTGTAAATTATAATTTTTTTTATTAAAATTTAATCCAATTTTTATTTTTGTCTTACTCTAATTGCGCAATTTACATTTCGAGTTTCATTGAAAGGAGCAAATTTTTTCTAAGACTAACAACAAACATGAATTTAATCCAAATTTATTTTTAATTTATAAAGACAATTTTAATTAAAAAAAATTTAGTTTATCATGTTTGATGGAAAGTTGTTTGTGATGTTATGTGAGAAGAGCCATTAAACTTCTCCATTGTTGTAAGTCAACAACTTTAATTATTCGTTAATT